AGGAAGCTGCATAATGGGGGATTTATCATATAATACAGGCTTATTGAAAGATTTCTGCTAACATCAGTTAAGAAAACCTTTCTGAGACTGTTATTTCCATTCCATAGAAGTACTGGATGACTTCTTCCCAGGTCACGCTAAAGCTTACCAGAATATTTGAAAGCATTGTTTAATTGTCTCTGATGGGAAAATAGTCAATGGTCACTTGAACATAAAGCAAGAACAGATCTATTTGTTCTGTGAAGTGACTGATTGCTAAATGAGTTAATACTACTAGAAGTCATTAACTAGAGCGAGAAAAAATATGATGTAGGAGCAACTTCTATACTACAGGTTTGAATTAAGATTCTGTGGGTCAAACAGAAGGATCCAAGTGGCCAAGGAGGTACTAGATTGTACGTGATTCTGAAAACAATATTTTTAATATTGTGAGGGTACTGAATTTTTATTTCATCAAAGTTATCTTGTTAGTACTGAGAAGAGCCAGTTGTAGACAGTAACGTAAGAGGACCAGGGTGTTCAGGACTGCCAAAACCCTTTTGGGGTTAGACAAACGCTGATTGGGTTCTGAAAAAGTTGTGCTGCTGCAGTATTATCAAATACAGACTACTGTCTCTGTTAAAAGTACGTTTTCTGAGAAGGGGACCAAAGTAATGTGGTCAGGGATTCTCATTTCAAATCTGCACTGTTTCAAATTTGTGAAACAAGCTAAACACTCTATAAAGTAAAGACAAAATTTATGTAGCCCTCCCCTAGCAGGAGTCATACAGTACCTGGTTTTGACATAAGAGAATTGGAGGGTGTTATCCTTTTAACCTGTAAGGAAATATTATGTGTTTGTCTTAAGTAACTACGTTCCTTTGGGCCAGAAAAATGCTTTGGTGTTTCTATTGAGGACCTTGAAGCATCCAATGATTTCACTGAGACTTCTGAATCCACAAGAAACATAGCTTGAACCTTAAGTAAGCAAACTGCTTCAAGACAAACTGAGGATGTAATAGTATTAAAGCTAGGAGAAAGTGCTAACATTCTCCACAAAAGCATTTAGTATTGCAAATTAAAATATCTTAAAGGCTCCTGAATTAAACAGAATCTCAGCTCTGTATTCCCCTTTCCTGGGTCAGATAGCAGAGGATAGATACAAAGTTGGAATACAGACATGAGTATTAAATCTGATGTTGACCTTGAGCTGTAGAATAAACTCTGAAAGAGATCTACTGTACTTTGTACTTTATTAACATATATCTGTAAACACTGTGGGGTCTTGATTGATCTTTGGTATCTAAACATTACATCATAATTAACAACAAATCCAGAAATATATTATAAATACATGGAATAATAGTACATTAACCTAAAGGACAGCAATAAATTGCAACGCTTAGCATAAACTTGAAAACCACTAATGGGCCACTGTGCAGTTTGTTTATAGTATAAGCAGTCAAGAACTCTGTGTAATGTACAGTAACAGTGTGGTGGATAACAGCAAGTCTGATGTGATAATTTATATATATATCTTTTTCATAGACACACACAGCTGATTTTTTTTGAAATGATTTCTGAGAATGCTGGAACAAGCATTCTGACCTTAGCCTGGTCTGCTGCTTTCTTCCAGTTCTATTGAAAAGAAGTTAAGGATGCTTTTGCATTGCATAGATGGATGTGTACTGCTTTGATGAAGAAGTATTTAATTTATGCTCATGTATGAAATTGGAAAGATACTCTGAACTGAACCCCTCGAACTTTCTGCTACACTGCTGCTAATCTTGCATCTATGAAAGACAAGCTAGGCCATCCTTGAGACTTTTAGGATACAAGTGGTATCATTGCAGGTATAAAAGTAGCTTCCAAAATACTCTTTGTTATTGTTGAGTAGGTGTTTACAGGTATATCCCTACAAATCATAAATCATTTCACAGCCATCTGTTAACACTTTTTTGGATGAGTCCTTGTTTGTTCTCTGCTTCTGTGGTTGCTGCCACATTTGAAGCAGTCATCACCGTGATACTCACTGCAGTTTGAGAGTGAGTATTTGTGATCGTTGTTTTGAAGAGAACATTTTGGATTACGTTGTTACAAACTTTCTTCCTGAAGATCAGGAATATTTCTTTTCTATGTAATGTTTAGACTGAGAAAAAACATCCTGTAATGATTGTTTCCTGGTTTCTTGGCTTCAGTTATCTCATGCTAGGGTCTCTGTATATTTTTTAAACAACATAAGCCTAAGGATGCATACTAAAAACTGTGTAATAATATAGAAACATATTCATTTCTGTTATGCAATAAAGATACCTTTTTTTCCCCCTCTGTCGTTTTACAGAAAGTGATCTGAAAATGAAATGGCTTAAATCCTCTACCAAATGAAGTAACATAAGATAAGAGAGGGGATGTGGTAAACATGAGTGAAAGCAGTGAGTTAAAGAGTTTGGCTCTGAAGTCAATTGAAAGCAAGTACAGAAGGGAAGAGATTGAAGAGGCACAGACGGGTCCGTGTATCTCTTCTGTAAATAAGACTCAAAGGCATTGGTTTGCAGGGAGATTTGTTAAAGTACATTCCAGATGGTTGCGGTTTCAGGGAGAACGCTCTTGTACTAGGAACACAAAACTGTAGAACCAGATAGAAGCGGCTTGTGTTGGAGGCACGGAGAGAGTACGCAGAAGAGCGCAGAGAAAGGACGTCTTCTTGAGGGGGGCTGGGACAAACCATTTTAGAAATCAGGAAGGGAATTCAAAGTTGGGTGTAAAATGAATGACATACGTTTGGAAAACAGTGGTATGTTCAGATGGGTCAGCATCTGAAGATGGCCATTGCCTTTCTTTATGTTATTTGAAATTAGAAAATAGGCCTTCCATGGGATTGGAAATGTATTCCAGCAAGCTTAATGATTTTATTATATTAATGAGTTTTATAATTGAGAATGTTAATTTGCATACAGTTCTTGTGTTTCCTTTTTGACCTGTAGAAATTGCCTCTTTAAACAGCAAATATTTAAATACTCTTGGTGCCATAGTTTGATACTGTGGCTTTGGCATTTCTTTTTTTGGCTCTTGTTAATCCCTGTGGGGTCTCTAATCCTTTTTGAGCAATCTATTAAGGTGAAATACTTTGTAGGCAAACTAGGAGCTTTAAGTGCTGTGACTTTATATCAGTAATACCAGAATCACTGCAAGTGCTAAAGCTGTCAGATTTCTGGGAGGTTGTTTAGCTATATCATTAGCAGATCATTTGGGTATGTCACCATAATTGAAAAGAACAGGTGTGTAGTGCTGTTTTTTAGTTTATCTATGTAATGTTGATGAAGCATTTTGTATAGTGACAATCTGTCAGACAAATATCTTGTCACAAGACTTAAATCCTTTTTTATCTCAAGGCTTCAGGGCTCGGTTGGAAACTTGCACTTTGATGAATACTTGCTGCTTTTGTCTGGAATAGTTGGAGTGCATTTCTGGAATATTTGTCAAGATTTTATCAGTGTTTACTCCAATTTGAGTACCTAGTGTATTGTAAAACTGGCTTCAGTGAAATCTTAAAGAATTTTATTTAGTTTATGCTGTTTAATAATATAATGAAAACTAATCCTTCATCTATATGTTTATTTGCCAGGTTAAATCCCACTTGTGTACATGGTTCTTTTTAGTCAGCTTTTACCTTTAAGAACATTTTGGAAGAATTGTTTTAGGATTTTTTCGACGATAAATCATTTTAACCTAGTCTACTTGTTTTCTTGAGTTGTCTGCCAGTATGGGCCTGGAAACAAAGTTTAATCTCTCTTTTAAAGCATTCCTTCAGGAACAAGAATTTGCTTTCCATCGAAGTGTTATGTAAAGCACACTTAAAAGAGAACTAAATCCTTCTGGACTTCGTATCTGAAATCACAAGCAGTAACTACAAGAGAAAATAGTCAACTGTATTTTTATTTTTGCCTCAAGACCGGCCATTTTAAGGGAAAACTAAAATGAAACTCATATTTCTCAAGTGGTAGATAAGTACTCATATGCATAAAAAGAAATCTAACTGGGATCTTTCTTGGGGCTTTAACAACTGATTAATAAGGATTCTTATGTGACTGCTGTTAGTACTGTGACATCCAGAAGTCCCAGAGAAACGGCCAAAGTTGTTAAGTTTCTTTCTGATAAAATGTTAACACCAAAGAAGAGGCTAGGTCAGGGAAACCTGCATGAACGGTCCCTCCATTGAGGGATAAACTGATAATAGCAGGATTAGAGGCCGTTATAGTTATGTATTAGAGGCAGCTTTTGAAAATACTGCCTGTTGATTTTTGTATGTTTAAATTATGTGATCTGTAGGACGTGCTTTTCTGTTGACTTTTTAAATGCAGTTTTGGGTGCCAGTACTTCTGAAAATCAGACCCAGCATGTCTCAAAGTAGACTTCAGCTGGATCATTCTGACTGCAATGTTTAAGTAGTTACTCTCTCATCCACTCAAAGACAAATGAAAAGCTAACTCATGAATCTGGATTTCTGGTCATCGCTTGGTCAGTAGACATATCAAAAATATCTGGCATAAATATGAAAATGTTGCCGATGATTACTTCTGTCTTGTTCTCTTCCCTCCCCGGTCCCCTTTCTATGTAGTTTATAAAATTTAAAGCCAGAAAGCAAGTGACATAGACTATGTCATTGAAATGGTTTTCCAACTCTTTTTAGAACTAAATTGAATTTAAAAATTACACCAAGCTCTTGTGGATTTATGTAGTGCTTTGCATCACTGTTTGTTTTAATGAGTGTAAGCCTCTTGAAAAGAAAAATCTCAGAATATTTTGAAAAGTACACAGAGTTTGGAACTGGATATTAAACTCTACCAAAGATCCTTGATCAGCTGGTATTTATGAGAAAAATTCAAGTTATTGTCTAAATTTGGTCTTTTCTTTTATGATTCCTATTAAGATTTGCCCTTTAAAACATGACAGTCCATTTCCTGTTTTAGATGTGCGTACATTGGTGACTAGTATCTCCATTTCACTTTTCTATCTTGCAGGTACAAGATATCTCCTTTAGCCACGACTGTCGTTGGGTTGTGGTCAGCACACTTCGTGGCACTTCTCATGTTTTTCCCATCAACCCTTATGGTGGACAGCCCTGCGTCCGAACACATATGTCACCTCGAGTGGTAAATCGCATGAGCCGATTCCAAAAGAGTGCAGGTTTGGAAGAGATTGAGCAAGAACTGACTTCTAAACAAGGAGGTCGCTGTAGTCCTGTTCCAGGCCTGTCAAGCAGCCCATCTGGCTCACCGCTTCATGGTAAATTCCTTTTTGTTTTTTCGTCGTCTTTTCTTTTTTTACGTTGTTTGTTTGTCCCCCCCCGCCCCAGTCCCGCCTCCCCCACTCTCTGTCAGGAAACCTCACCCCTTGAATCAGTAGTTCCCATAGCCTCAAAGATATTTCATTATCTGCTATATAGCTGCCTCCCTCAAAATGATTTGGTTCTGAAATACTTTTAGAGATCTTGGCCTAAACTTCTCTATAGTGTTCCAACTTCACATTTCAGCAGTACTTGCTAGCATCTAGAAAAATTACTGCTACTTGCTAGCAACCAGAAAAATGGGAACATTGAATTTCCTGGAGATTGCAGGATTAGACTTAGATCGTTCTGTTTACCCACCTAGATTGTGCCAGTAAAAAATGAGTTTCATAAAAATAAGGTGCCGCAACTATTGTGAAAAAGTATGTAGGGTATGCAGATATTATAGGAATGCTCAATGGTAGAAATACTTGAAGGTAGTTCTAATTTCGCAGCCTACTTAAGTAAATGCTATCACAGATGTTAATAACTTCCACTCTAAACTGAAAGTTTTGGGGTCTTATGTTTCAGATATTGTTTCACAGCTAGCTCAAAATCAGTAATCTGGCCTATATTTAAATGCAATTACCTAAAATTCTTACTGCTTATCAGCTTGGATGATTATCACATCCACATTAAATATTATTTGAGGAGAAATGCAAAAAGTAGGCAAAACGAACTTGATGGAATAGATTTCGTCCACTTCATTCTTTTTTGATTTTTTATTTTAGCAATGTGGCCAATAATAGAATATACAAAGGAAAAAAAATCTGTAAGAATTGATCTATAGTTCCTACTCCTGTGGTGTATATGTTTTGGGGATAGTAAAAGGAGGAGAACCTAAAAAGGTTCAAAAATCATCGTTGGTCCAGCTTCTTCAGTTTGTTTTTTGCTGTTTATTTTGCCCTCCTCTTTGAGGTCATTACTGGTAGCTTGTTTGGATTCAGAATTTGCTCATTCTTACCTCTCCCTTCTAGTAAGAGCAAGTCAGAGCTTCCCTTGAAGTGAATGCTGAAGTAGCAATTTGGGAGGGCTAACTGCCCCTTTCCAGCCTAAGAGCGTTATTCCCCGATTACTATTAGTATTAGATGGGCTTGTGAAATCCCAACTGCTGGATATTCCTACTGTCATAGTCAACATGTTTGCAGCTAGAGAGAATCTCTGTGGGGTTTCTGAATCAAAGGGACGTTTTCATTGCTTGTTGATTATTAAGGGAGCAAGAATTCTCTCAGTAGAACCAACCCTCTGTCTTCTCTTTTGGACTTTTTCTAAACAAAAACAGCTGTTCTGAAGCATCTACCGTGTTCTTCTGCCTGCAGCTATCAGAAGGCACCCAAAAGTCTCATTCTTCTTGGTGATACGTGTGTATCTTACTGTTGTAGTTTCTCTCTCACCGTTATACAGCAACCCGGCATGTCATGCTGGAAACAGACTTGGGATTCCTGTAAGCAGTTATAGCACATCTAATCACTTTTAACTATTGACATCACATAGAGAAGAGGAAGGAACTATCAGCTTTTGTAGCTTTTATCCAACCAATTCTGTTTTCTGTCAAGAGAAATTACAGTAAGTTGTTACCTTTACAGTATTCCAAGGTACATTTGACATTTTTAAATAATTTGACATGTCTTATGTGAAAAAGCAGCAGTTGCATTTGACATTTGGTTTCATGGACCAAGGCAGCAGGGTTGCTGTGACTACTGAAAGGTTGATAATTATGCCATAGTAATTGGAAGTACTGAGTGATGGCTGTGAAGTGCAGATGAGATCTCAAAAATAATACTGCAATCTTTTACAAGAAAGGAATATCCTTTAAATCGTTCTTCCTCATCTGCTACTCTCTGTAACAAAAGCCACTCATGTCCACCTAGCAGGCTTAGCATAAAAGTATGCAATAACTGTAGGATATTAGGCACGTGTTGTTGTTTAAATGAGATAATCCAGAACACCATGGTGCTTTGAATGAAAATAAGAGATTTTAGACTCAAAACAAAACAGTTCCATATCTTACCAAAAAAAAAAAAAGTTAGACAAAAGATAAAAATGTTTAGTTTTAAACTATCTTCACTTGGTAAAATGCCATAATGTTTTTAGTACTATTATCGCTGCTTTTTCATTTTGGTAATCTTTTAGTTTACCTACCACAAGTTAGGCAGGATATCATACCGTATTATATGCCTCTTACAAAAACCCCTCTATTATCCACTTGGAAAAAAAAAAATTTGAAGTTCACAGTGACTTTCAATGGAGGGATTCTGTGTGCACACGTGGCAGCTGGATTAGCCAGTAACTGTGGTGATTATTTTAATTTGTGAACTAAGATGGGTTTACACAGATTGTAACAGCTCCTTATCATACCGTAACGTTAAATTATTTTTGTTTGGAGGAGTTATGGCAGTCTTGTGATATTGTAGCTAGTACTCGGAGCAGAAAAGAGCAGTTCTGAGTTTAATTCTTGGCTTTAGTTTTAACTTGCTCTGTGACCCCTGGTAAATTTTATTCAACTGATTTTTGTATGCTGGTTTTCCACTTTGTAAAAAAAGCAATAATCTCTCTGACCCGTATGTGTAGAATTTAAAGTTTGTAAAAACATTTGAGATTACCAAAAACTATTAATTCACATGTCTTTTTTAGTCTATTTATGTGTTTTTGTACTTACTTTCCACAGAATATTGAAGAATAGAGAGTGATTTTAATTCATGGGCTGTTAGAATTTTTACAAAGTTGGGAGTGAGACACACGTTCTTATTTTGTATTACTATTCAAGACAGAGTAACTATTACTTTCCTTAGTCATCCTTATAAATACAGATGATTATAATGGAGATACTAGCATAGACAAGTGTCCCAGAGAGCACTGTTGCAATGATACAAGTTGTTGATTAAGTGACAAATTCAGAAAAGATTATGGTAAACTGGTTTTATTTCTGATTTTTGTGTGCATGTGGAGTCTTGACGTCATGATTTTCCTTTTACGTCCTTTGCAATTTAGAGAAGTTTTGAGTAAGCCTTAAGCTACAAAAACTGCTGTTAGTCCTTCTGCTAGTATTTCTTTCGCATTACAGTAACATTGCAACAACGTTAGGCCAAAAGAATGGACTTCTGTAAACAAAAAAACTTGTATGTTAGCTCTTCTTTTGGGTACCAATTACAACTCATTGATATCAACTTGTGATTAGTTTTTGTTGCTGTAAATATTTGCAGAGTTCAGACTTTAATACTTTTCTCACTTGTTTTTTAACTTCTGGTTTCAAAATGAAGCTATTTGCTGTGTGTACAGTAGGAAAGCAATCTATTTACATTTTGTTCAGAGTACCGTACAAATTGTTTGCCCATACAATGTAAGCCTTTATCGAGAGTGACAATGATTTCATTTCCAAAGGAATCATCATTTGGCTTTGTTCTTTTTAGCAGAATGAAGTAAACTGTTAAATAGAGGATGATAAAGAGTGGTGGGTTTTGTTTGTTTGTTTCACCTTTTATAGCTAACAGATTTTGTTAGGGTTATTTTATCTGTTAACCCAGCGAGGTTATATTTTTGTCATTCAGTTGGGTTGCCAGAGCGTGTTCTCAGTAATATCTGAGTTAAGTTGGTATCCTTTTATGGGCTTTTACTATTATAAGACTATTATGACATCAATTGGTTGCAGCGCTGAAAGTTGAGTAGAATATGGCCTTATATGACCTTTTTACATATATGCAATAGGGGTGATGGTACGTAGCTGTCTCTCAGGTACGCTTTATTGTGAAAATGGAAAGCTCCATGCAACTCTCGTATTATTTTGCAAATTAAAAACTAGTGCATTATTATCATTATTTCTCACACCAACACTAAGTCTGTCTGAACCTATTCAGAGCTTTTTGCTGTTGTTCACTGCAAAGGTTTCCAAAGTCAGAACATAGCACAGATGTTAATACAGTAAGTTAAGCGAACAGTAAGCCTTTTGCTGCACATCTCCACTTACTAAGAACGTTCAAAAATAATTTTTTTTTGAGTTTGTTTTCTTGTTTTTTGATTGTGGATTTAATTGGATTGTGCAGTTTTGCCAAAAGACCGTTCGTAATACACAATGATCCTGGTCTAAACTTAACGCCTAAGTGGAAATGTAGTACATAAATTTAGAACTGTGGAAGAACAAATTGTACTGTATGTATTGCATTCAGGCTTGAATTTAGCTCTTTAGGAATATTCTATTATAGCACATTTTCCTTTGCAAAATCTCTTTTTTTTTTTATTTTAAAAATTAAAAGGCTTTCTCTCGCTTTTCCTTCTTTTGTAATAAATGCAACATGATTAAAATCCAAACATAAATCTAGAAGTTTGATAAACATGTAGTCTGAGATGCTTTAAATATTTTCACGTTACTTTTCACTATTTCCCAGAGTGAAACTCTTTTTACTAGAAGAATTCTTATGGGAAAGCAGAGTTGAAAGGACTGACATCATCAGCCCTTCCTGAAAAACAGATTGGTTTCCTTTAAGTAACACTCACTTAAGAAACCACCTATTTAGAGAGAGGCAGACAAAAATAGTTTCAGAGAAAATTAACTGTATAATAACTTAAAACACTGGGAGGCAGTTACTTTCCAGAGTTTAACTTAAGAACTAGCACTGTAAACATGAGCTGAAAACAGTTATTTGAAGTGTCTCTATTAAGCTTTTATTTTTCTTTTTTGCAAATTGTAGCTTCTGTCGCCTGAGAACAGATTTTAGAAAAGTACAGAAACAGTAAAGAATGCTGTAGAACGGGCCCAATTTTCCATGTACTTCACGCGTTTCAATCTGCTTGATCGTTACGTGCTTCCACGGTGTTACACTTGGACCTTTGTTATTTAAAAGGACTTTTCAAATATCTTGTTCTCCGAGTTCGTCCGCAAACGCTTTTTTGGGCATCGTGGCTCTTTCCGCGGGGGGCGGTGAAGGGCCGCCCGGAGCCGCTCCCCGCCCCCCTAGATTGACTT